AGAAGCATGAGTAACCCTAGATGCTTGATAATCCCTGGGTTTAAATGTTTTACTTTTCTTCTAACCAACTTTGGTGAAATTGTCCTCTTTATTGTTGGCAATCTACTTTTGATTAGGGGATAGCAATTAAACATTAGAATTACCCTCAGACTTTCCTAATTTTGAAGCAACCTTTGTATACAAAATTTCTCCTTCTTCCAGTATATTATCCTCTATACATGTTTCCTTCTCAATTTGCTTCCCATTAATATGTGTTAGGGCACATTGTTTCTAGCTAACATCATTACCATTTTTCTAGTTGCAAACCAATATCCTATTCAACAGAATGTGACTCTTTCCCCTTAGATAAGCTAGAGTCATTTTCATCCATTTGAGGAATAATATGAGTTCCATTAGTAAGAGAAACTATTAGATTAGCTTCCTGAGCAACAATAAGAATATCCTCCGATATAGTTTCATTGATACCAATGTGTTCCTGAACAAAATTAGGATTATCTTCCAGTAAAGTTTCACTGATATCCCCAATTTCCACATTGATATTGCTAATTTGTAACTATGTAGTGCCATCTAACTCATTGAATTCCTTCAGAATAGAAGGAGCCACTCCTATAACTTCTTTGTTTCCATTCTTTAAGTTAGGGTGAACCATGAAACATTCATTGATCGAATGGCCGTGGACTTTACAATGCAAACAAAAATATGAAATATTTTCAAAATCCAGTTTTTACATATAGCCATAATTCTCCGACCCAATCCGCACCTCTTTAGGATTTTTTTTGGTGATATCCAATTCAACAGAAATCCTTGCTACTTATAGTCGAGCCTAGTAGCAGTAGCTTGATCATTTTGAAAAGGTCTACCAAAAATGGATCCTAAGGCATGCAGAACATGCAAGTTGAAGAAATGGAACATCAAATTAGGAAAATAAATCCAAACATGAACTATAGGAGATTCCTCTTTCATATCAAAAAAAAAAAAGAGTCCACTTGAGTAAGCGCATTTGAAAATTATTTATGTAATAAGAACGCCTAGCAAAAATCCGACTATAGTCTAAATCGTTAGAAAGTTGGATAGCAACATGTCTACCATCCAACAATCCAATGGAATACACACTAGAGAGTTTCAAGTTATGAAAAAAGCCCTAATGGCATCAAGGTTAGGTCATTTTAAGGAAAACATCCCAACTAATATAAATTGAAAAGGTGAAGCCAATTTAAGAATATCTTCATTAGAGATCATTAAAGTCGAGGAACCTAAACCAAAGATTTTGTAAAAGAAAAACCATCATTATCCAAGGAAGCGTTACCCGCCAAAACATCATGAAACGACCGAGATTTAAACATTACCTGAATCATCGAAAAGCCAATCTTAGCTCCGACCTTGGTAGAAGGTGGAAGACCCCAAGAAGACGATCGAGCATCTACCATCCACGGAGATAAAAGGATAAAACCTAAAAAAGGGCGCAGTGAAAAGGCAAGTTTAAACAAGGGGGGATCGCGAATAGCAACCCTAAAAACACGATCGCCAAGAGCTAGATGCTCTTAAGAGAGTGACCCTAAACCCTAAACCCTAAAGTTAGGTCTACTATGGAAGTTATACATTTATTGAGAGGTTTGATGGAGAAGTGTAGAGAGAATAAGGAGGATCTACATATGATTTTTATTGATGTGGGCTGCTCTTGAGAGAGAGCATCTTATTTTTTTTTTTTTACTTTGAATGTTTTATTTGTGTGGATCAAAGGGAAGAAGTCCAAAGGGCTTGTATCTTAATTCTGAGTAATTTCTAAACTTTATTTACATTGTTTATCTTATGTTAATTGTTTGTAACTTGTGTTTATTCAATGCAATAAATATTTGTTGTGTGTTATATCGCCTCATGTAGCTAAACCTTTTCTCTAATTATATGATTATTTTAAGGGAATGTATTGCTTAGAGTAGGTTAATCTTTAAATGATCCAAACTATTTTTACAATCTATATGCTTCAATTGATGAATTAATAGGCCTTACATAAATTAAAAACTTCATATGATCTAGAGCTTCGATAGAGGAATAGAAGAACAATTAGAGACATTAAAACATAGTCCATCCATAACATAGACATATGGTGGTTTTTGATTATGGGGTCTTAAGGAGAAAAAAGAATTGTGGTTTGGAGGGATCCTAATAATGCTTCAATAAGCTCAACAAAGATAAGAAGATCTTATGCTCTGATCCACAATAATAATAGAAAGTAAACCACTCTATAGCAATCATGTTTTATTAAATATAATAGGTCTAAATTTTCTAATCTTAGTGAATTTTCTTTTTTGCAATTGAATCTTTTCAATTTTCTAATCTTAGTGAATTTCCTTTTTGCAATTAAATTTCTAGATTGTTTCTCATGGGATCAACACTTTTTTATTCTTATATTAGTTGACACTACATGTATATTTATGTTAAAGAGGCCTTGCACCATAGTAAAATTAAAAAATATTTGTAACATTGACAATAAATATTAGTAATATTGACAATAGGTTTAAAATAAACATAAAGCTTGAAATCCTTTACAAATCTAAACCAAACAACCTCTTAATTATAACAATAGATCTTAGTTAGGTTAACTAGACTCCTAGGCCTCTATGAACTGGCTAACCATAACTTCCTAATTGCCTTATATAGATGTTTGATTCGATAGCTATTTGAATCATGTAGACTCACATTTGTCTCCCCTGTACTTTCTCAGTATTCCACTTTTATTTGAACATCACTAATATAACAACATACCTTGGCATCATAATTGTTCTCATCATCTTTATCTCTTACACGGCTCCCTATCATTTAACTCAATTTCTGCCTAACTCCCACTGGCAAACCTTCCAACCATCATATTTTAAAATTCATAAGTTTATTAGCCTTGAGTTATTCTAAGTAGCAAATCTTGTTTACACATAGCCTTCCACATTAGTAACCATCACTCCTTGAATGAAATAATGCTTGTTCAATAGCTAGCACCTCTCTTATTATATCTTAACATGTGCTTCATAATATTCCTTCAATTTCTCCAAAATTCATTTGTGCAACATATCTGGCAATCATCATGCATAATTGCTTCTTATTAGTTCTATCAACCTACACAATGTTAACATGTGGTAGATATTTGTTACACAACATGTTTCCTTCTCTCATTAACTTAAGCTCATTTATCACATTAATTGGGGTGACCTTATTACATTTTACTCGCTTAAAATAGGCTCTCTTTAGTATGATCTTGTTTTGATGATAACAAACTCTTGTTTGCATGTACTAATTATTTATACAAAGCAATTTGAGGATCAAGTAATTGCATAAATTTGAAACATAAAAGTAACTACAACCATATGATGATCAAAGTATTTAGAAGAGAAATGTAGAGAGTCAAAGGTAGAATTATTAAGTTTGTCATTGCAAAATCGCTCAAGCTTCAAATGACCAGAATATGTAAGTTTAAATAAAATTTAAAATTATTTAAAATTATTTTAGCAATCATAAATTTAATTAATTTTGTTTTTAACATATTTATTAATATTAAGAAATTGAGGTTATTTCAATTTTCAATTTTATTCTATTGATTTTCTTTATATGGGTTTGTCTTAGCAAATTCATTCACATAAGTAATGATAAAGAACTTACTTTATATTTTAATAAGTTTCTTTAATTATATTTTTATGTTGAGAAGTTTGTTCAATTTTATGTGCATCAAAAAGCATTAAATTTATGAATATGGGCTAAAGATGCCTAATTATATTGCTTAAAATTAATAAGCTCTATTTTTATATTTTAATATACTAAACTTTTTTTTTTTTTGTACTTAAAATTTTGTATGACAACTTACTAACATGAACAAATTTCTATATATAATGTTTTTTTAAATACCAATTCACCCCCTCTTTTGAAAATATCATACACATAAATTGATATTGGAGCATTGACTCTATTTTTGTTAGCTTAATCACCAATAATAAATAAATTCATTATATCACATAATATCTGCTATAGCAACACGTGCCGAAGGTCACTCCACCACAAAGCTTGTATTTTTAGGCAATGTCCAATTTGATTGGAAGGATGGCATGAGTTAATTCTCGGGAGGACAAGATCCAACTTATAAAATATGTGTCTTACAATATAGACCTCCCAATATGCTAGTGATGGAGTAAAGAATGAGCAGTCATTTTTTAAATGGACATTAGCAGAGGTAGAACTGTAGTATGTATTGTCTTGTGCTAATTAATATTCATAAGGTTTAGAATTTTTATTGACTGACAATATTTTACAGGTGATTTAACCATGGATAAAGATTGACCATACAAGTTTCATAAAACGGATTTCAGCGTAAACAAGGAAATTCGAATATATCCTCTCGATTTTCATTTGACATTTGGCTTCGTCTATGTAAGATTACTTCATTTGAGATGAAAATAATCCCTTGCAAAAGAAAGATTAAATGTTTTCTCCTTGTCTCCTAGTCTTGAGAACTACAATGGATTTAAGGGCATGCCGTGAGTTAAACTCTGTACCCACAAAAAACAGTCCTCTCAGGGTAGTCACCTGGTTCTTCAAGACAAAATAAAGAAGATGCAGACCCTCTTCCAAGCTCCATGTCTTTTTTTAGCTTTTGAAGCTAAATGAAATGAAAAAGAAAGGGGGCAGCCAAGTGGTTATAATATAAAGCCAACCTTCACAAACTCCACGATATGGAGAAAGTCCGCAAAACTAGCAAAAGGGTATTTTTGAATCAATCCTGATCGTCCATCCAGCACAAGCATTTAGCCAAGTTCTATAAAATGAGCATCAAAACGTGGTTTTTAAGAAACATTCCTATAGATCGATCGCTAAAAGTTATGAAAAGGCTCAACAAGTAGAAGCACAAATAGGCACTAAATTGCAGGCTCAAAACAACCACATTGTAATTGAATCAATGTTGAAATATCAAACAAAAATTATAACATAACAAAAACACCCAAAAAAAAATTACAATGGTCTGCAGAAAACAAAATGTTGCAGCATATTTAGTATCACCAAATCTAAAGAACAAAAGAGGTATTATTCTCAATGCATTTTACTAGAGTGCTAGATTCTGGCCTTTACAATTTCAATTGAATAGGAAAAATAGCTTCACTTTATTTACTTTACAGCCAACTGAATAGCTAGCTTTGAGAAATCAGAATATCCTAGTTTTGTTTTAATATATATTCTCAGAATATGCATCCTGAATACATGCAACCAAATATAGCCATCCCAAGATAAATCAAAAACCAAAGACTTCTGCAATTGAGCTGCATCTCAAGGTTTACCACAGCAAAAATTCATTTATCATCACAGATAAATAGCTTGCTTATTGATTACTCTATATCCAAAGTTACATGTCAAAGTAGTTAGCAATCTACTCAAAACTTGTAGACCATTTCTTCAGTGTAACCTAGATCCTTGAGTAATCCAGAGAGCTGCAAAATATTACAGAGAAAAGGTTAAAGATCATAATAAACAAACTTCATGTCTATGAAAAGCAAAAGCCAAGGAGCTGGGAACAGCTAGCAATAAAATTCTTGAAGGAGCTATACGCTAATATAGCATTTTGACGAGCCTACTGCCAATGGAAGGTTTAAAAGTATTGGTATATGTGCCTGAAGGGGATTATTATGTGAGCTCAGCTAAACGCGAAGAAATTTTCTCTACTATCTACACATTGGATTCACGTTCATAATGGACTCAAACGGATCAAGTAAAAAAACAAATATAAAAGTTGATAGCTTTGAACTAAATGTCACCGAATAATTTTTCCATCAAAAATAAACTTTTTTTTTTGTAGGAGCATATTCATACAAAGCACAAGTTGCACTATAGAACGAGTTTTATTAAATTATAGTCCCCTTAATGCTTCTTTTACAACGTCATATTGGGGAAATTGACTCTGGTATTAAACTTTGATCCCTTTAATACCAAAGGATTTAGAATGAGATCAAATGTAGGACAAAAAGTTTTTAAAACGATTTGTGTAGCATTTAACACCTCACGTAGAATTCAACAATTATAAGACAAAACTTACTTCCCCTTGAGATCTATCTTTTGCCTTGTCACCTGATATGTGGTTCATCAAACCAGGTGGTCCACAGACCTGATTAAATTTTTAAATAAACAATTAGTATTTAAGCAGTCAGGAAAAAAATAATAAAAACTGAATTGATGATGAAAACCTGGAAAAAAGTGACTATATTAACAGCTGGTATTGGTTATCACTAAGTTCTAGTCATAAAGAAGTGTATAAAATATTAAAGGCTGTACGAGAGATTCAGGGCATCAGGCATAACCATCAAATTACAATAGTTTTGCATAATCTTGCACAGAGCTACTGTTAAATACACAGCAAGCATGACAAGAAATAACAAGATTTTGATTTTTTTATTAAATCATGACCATGGAAACCAAAATTACAGAAAACAACTGAAACCCACCAAAATGAGTGTATCCTCAGAAGGGCCAGGCAAGCCCTTTAGAATCATATCACTTGATATAAAGCCCGCACCACCTCTCCAGGACTTGCTTGGTTTATCAACAGTATAAAAAACCTAAAGTTTTGACAAAATTGAAGTAAAATGGTATATCAGCCGGTGAGCAGCTGATTAGTCACCGAATCATTTTAAATAAAACTAACAGTAACATAATAGAAAAAGCAATGACCTTGAAATTTGGATAACTAGCTGCCAACCTATCAAGCTCTGCCTTCAGCAAAATATCGTCTGGTGACACATTTGCATAAATCAATGATACCTAATCAATCAATTTAGTACAAACCATAAGAACATAATGCGAAAGCTGGCAGGAAAACTTAACTTCCGATATACTTTTTTTTTTTTTACCGATATACCATTTTTCTGAAATCAAAAGAGTAAGCATTACAATAAGCTAAAATATTATTGTATAAAGCATGCAAATAAAAGGGAAAAACAAGATGTGATCTGGCTAAAACTTCATAAACAAATTTTGCATAAACTTAGGTCGACACCATAGCAACTCAATAGAGCTGAATGGAAAAGAGACATAGGAATTCAGAAATAAATTTTTGTCCTCTTCCTTTGAATTTATTAAAGAAATTATTGTGATCTAAAATTTTGATATAATTTCTGATTGTCTTTTATAAGGGTCGTAGATATGTTTGATTCTTAGCTGAGAAAGGACCCAAATTGAAAGTATAGTAAGTTAAAATCTAAGACAAATACTTCATGGCACATATACACGTATTATGGTAAAGAGGCATTTTTTGAGCCAAGGAGCATCATATTTATCCTATCGGGACATCCAAAAGGAATAATGTGATTAAATGTAAAAAGGTTCATTTAGAGGTGAAGGAAGTGCTACTTTCATATATAAAGAGTCGAAAAATTAAAATAAAATTTATGCATAGATGATAATGGGAGACTGATAGTGACAATTCAAGAATCAAATATTCCAACATTAATTGACTACGGAAAATGATCATTGGAATCAAGTTCTAGAGCAGAAAGCATTAATGACTAAGCATTGGGTTAAACCTTCCTAACAAAAGAGATTTTACGGATCATTTCATTATCCAAGACAAAAAAAAAATAAAGATAAAAAAAATGAAAAATATGAGGCAAATAAGAATCAAAGAGAACATGGATTAGGAATTAAGAGATATAACTATAAAGTACATAACTATCAGTCATCCCTTTCAATGCAATGAAGTTGAAGTTGGACAGATTGTAACATATGGTAAAGACTATTACACAATATGGATCACATCTTAGACCTCTTACCATGAGTTGAGTCCTGCTTCTTGAATGAAAATTAGGGGCAACTAAGGATCTTTTAGAGGAGCATACAAAGGTGTGGCAACAGAAGCGTACAATTTTAATGTTTAATAAGTGGATTGATAATCAAGAAAGATCAATAGTTGATTGCTTAGTTAATTCACTATTAGACACAATATTCATAGAATTATTGATGCCTCTAAATATTTTAAAATTATAAGCTATTTGAGCTCCTTAATGCACAATCTAAAATTTCTTTGGGGAGGTAAATTTATATCTTTGGTAGGGAAAATAAACTTAGGGAAAATAAACTTAGTTAAGTCAGTTTTGCTTTCCTACACAATTTTCCATTGCACACATTCCATGGTTCCTAGAGGAATTCTAGGTGAGTTTGATAAAATTTGTCGATCCTTTATCTGGAGTGAAGTGGATGGGATTAAAGGGATCCATTATGTTAAATGGGATACAATGTGCTTACCGGTGGAGCAGAGAGGAAGAGGACTTCATTCCTGTTGTGAGAAAATAGATCCTCTTAGAGCTAAACTAGCATGGAGATATTGTCAAGAGGAAGATTCTTTGCTACATAAGAGATTGTACCCAAAATATGGGCATCTGTATGGTGATTACTTCTCAAAAAAGAAAAATGAATCAGCTGCTTGGAAAATCATCTTTGAAGGAGGAACTTCACTCAAGCCAATAGTTAGATGGAATATTGCAAATGGGAAATTGATTAAAGCTTTAAAAGATATCTGGATATTGGATAGATGCATAGATGAATGGCCTACATTTGTTAATCCTAACATAGAAGAAGATAGCTCGGTTGATAAATTCATTTCTACAGGGAGATGGAATTCTGAAAAACTAAGAGAGGGTTTCGGTGAAGAGCTAGTTGAGATGATCAGCAAGATTCCGATATCCACAGAAGTTCCAACATATACTTTGGAATTAATTTCAAAATATTCTGGAAAGTCAATTTCATCATTGGCTTTTGCAGCAGTAGATAAGGGAAATCGGACTGAATATTGGAAATGGGTGAAAAAAGCAAAGTTAAACCCACGGGTAGTGTTTTTGGTGGAGGATTTTCAACAAGGCATTACCAACGGCAGATTTTCTCTTCTATAGAAGACTGCAGATGCATAATGGATGCCCAAGGAATTGCAATATGCATGAAGATATAGAGCATGTAATAATCAAATGCAAAAAGCTAGGAGTTTTTCTACAGCTGAATAAATGGGGATTTGTTGTTCCATAATTCGGTTCCTTGGAGGAATGCTTCAAATGGATCTCTCTTCAAAATTTCTGGATGGTAAATTTATTCTGTAATGTTATCTGCTTTTCTTGAAAAGGGAGAAACAAGCTACTGCATAAAGGTATAGATGATAGCTCACATTTCATTGCTTCGGAATCTCTCAGTTTTGCTGCCATTTCAGCAAAAAAAATTTCCTATAAATCGGGTAAATAGGGTGCTAACTGACTTTACAAGCTGTCGGATGATCATTGGCATCCCCCTCCACCTGAATGGATAAAGGTTAATATAGATGATTCATTACTCAAATCATAAAAAGCAAGAATTGGAGGAGTTTTCAGAGATTTCAAAGGAAGATTTCTTTTAGCCTTTGGACATACTTGTGTATATTGGGACATATCTAGACTAAAACTAGCAGCCATACAACATCTCAAGTTTGTAATCAAAGATTGGATGCTAATCTACAAGGGGATTATAATTGAGAGTGACAATAGAAATATCATCAAGCTTCTTCAAATGAGCGATTACAAGAATAAAGATCAGTTGGGGTCGAAGCTAAAGGAGTTCAACAAGGTAATTTTCAATTGTGTAACTAGGAATTGCAATAAATTAGCGGATCTTTGTGCTAATTATGCAATTCTTAGTTCTTTTATTTGGGAAGATTTAGTTCTTAATAAGGTTCCTCCTAACTTCATTTGTATGCTTAAGGAGTAATCAGTTGATATCTATTAGCTCTTTATTTTTTGTTTTGTTAATAAAATTTTTATGCACCTAGGTGCATTTTCTCAAAAAAAAAAAAAAATTATAGAAGAAAATATGGTGCCAGTGTTTAAGGACATAATAACTCAACTTATATTTTTGCAATTTACTAATTTAAGATACATATATATAATTGTTCATTACATTGTGAATATATTTTAAATTCTTGTAATTCAAATGCTTACGAATAAGAGGACACACCTATATTGGACACTATGTGCAACCCAACACATAGATCTAATGTTGGAGGATATAAGGATAACTTATCAAGTGAGAAGTAATATTAAAAATGTTAAAGCTACCTAAATTTATATATAATCATGGACTTTTTTTAGATATAATGAGGAAATAGACATATGGAGTAGAATTAGTGAGGCTAGGTATCACTTGTTTTGCTACTATTTTTCTTACTCTTTCAAGCGTACACAGCAAAAAGATAATTTAGGATATATGTTTTGTCTCTAAAGAATGAAAAAAAGTTCATATTTAGTATAGATTATAAATAAAAGAAAGCTAATGAGATCAATCTCATGACTATATTTTGAAATAATGTGACATATGCCTTGAAGCTTACAAGCCCATTAGTGGAGATATTGAGGTCAGTTAATGGTTAAAAAGGTTCAGTTATGAGTTATATTTATGGTGCAATAAACAAGATAAATGATGCAATTAGCAGTGCATTTGAAGGAGATGGAGATACGTATGATCAAGTCTTTCGTATTATGGATGAAAATAGTATTATCAATGCACTAAGTGCAATGTGATATGCAAGGTTTTATTTTTGCTTTGATATGCAAAATGTAAATCAAATTGGCACTTTTTGAAATAGAGGGTTCATAAGTTGTACATCATGTGTACATATATACATAAAAATTCATTAAATGAATAATTATTAAACCACATTAGATAATAAGTTTCAGCAATATAACGATACGTTAAATCATAACTATCTAAGAGCAAAAAAAAAAAGAAAAGATAAAATTTAAAGTTATGAAAAAAAATCAACTTAAAAATTAAGAAAACTCAATGAGATTGCAACCAACTAAAGACTAAGAGGTGGTGTAGGTAATGTGAAGTGAGAGAGAATGTGAATATGAGGAATCGATAAGCATTCTCAAGAAGAAGCTTATGAGCGAAAAGTTATTAGCACCAACAACAAGAACTATTGAGAGGCGAAACTAAAACTAGCAAGTGTTGGCTCCAAAAATTTGTGCCCGACTTCTCCAAGCCCTTTTGTATTGACGGGGAGTGATGAGGACATCGATCAGAGGATCAAACATGTGTATCGCCGGAAGCATCGCAGATCAACGGCCACAATTCAGAGTTTATATTTTTAGTTATTTATGCATTTTATTTTCTTTGAGTCTTCCTATTGTACCCTTATTATGAGTTGAGTCATGCTGTAGCTCTAAGGACAATTTAGTCTTTGTTCCTTCTTTTATTTTGAGACCTATATATAGGTCATTTCTATTGTAATGAGATGATTATTGATTAATAGAAATTTTCTTTGCTTCTTCTTCTTGAATGAGAGCTAGAGAAGGGTGATTGAGCTTAAGGTGAGCGAAGTGCATTACCCACCAGTCGTTGGAAGCGTCAGTGACTCGTGGCTTTATTTTATCTTCTTGTCTCCTTATCCACCTCTTGTTCTCCCCCTCTCCTACCCGCCACTCTCCATAACCCCACCACCGGCCATCTAGGGGATACAACCCGCCGGCTCTTCCTTTAGCCGTCGGCCACTCCTCAACACCCCTTCCCCAATCTTTCAACCGTTGGCCCCTTTCCCTTTCACCCACTTGTTTCAAATTTTGAAATTGAAAATTGATTGAATCTCAAAATTTCCAAATTTGTCAAAAGCCAAATTAGGAAAGTATTCAAATCCAAACCAATTTGAAATTCAAATTGAAGTGGATTTCATAATAACTTTTTCTACTGCTTATGTGCTAATTTGGAAGGCTCATAGGTTGCTCCCACACCTCCTCCCTCCCTCTAGGACC